CTCTCTCTCTCTCTCTCTCTCTCTCTCTCTCTCTCTCTCTCTCTCTCTCTCTCTCTCTCTTCTTTTATAGGGTTATGCATATTAAAATAGTTAGTGCTATTTTATGCTAAGAGATATGATTTTGCATGTTATTTGTTCATGGAGAAGTCTGCAGATCCCCTTTATGTTTTGGGGCAAAGTAGTCTGAGATCATATGCAGCTGCCCTGTTTCACTTCAGCCTTGGAAGAAAATTCCTGAATGCTGCAAAAATTCCTCTATAGTGTTACATTTGATCAATTCATAGAGTTGCCTAATCAATATTAAGGAGAATGTATTAAAAAATATCACATATTAACCAAAATACATTAAATTATTATATATTACTGCACAAGAGGCATTTCCAAAACTGAAAAAAATTACAATTGTGGTAGGCATAGAAACTCCCAAGCCAGTGTCTAAGAGGCAGAGCCTTTCAGAAGGAAAGTAGAGCTGTCTGGATTTGAGGTGGTGGGCATGCAGGGGGATGTTGTTACATAAGACAGGTGCAGTAATAGAGAAGAGACATGTCCTGCTTACGTGTCAAGACCCAGAATATGACCACCAGGTCAGATCTTATCGAGCAGGCAGAAATAGTTAGAGACAGTCAGTCTTACAAATAACTAAGCCCTGTGTCAGCAACTTGAATTGCATCCAGGAGCCTACTGGTAACTGGTGCTGCTAGTGAAGTAGGTGCACAAAGTTAGAGATGGTCATGAGTAGAACTCCCAATCCAGATTTTGTGCACAAGATGGATTTGTGCAAATTGTACCCTGGTTCTATTAGGCACATTGGGACCACCTCTAGAAATGAACATAGAAACTTTCTAGATCCAGATGATCCCAGTGACTCAGTCTTACTACTGTATGTTTTTTTCTGAGCCTGTTTTCCCCATCTAGACCCTTGCAACTTCCACTGAGACAACTTCAACAGTATCACTTGGGTGGCAAGGCTTGAGATATATCACTGGGTTTCATCAATGTACGGATGATAGCTAGCCCCATGATGACAGATATTAAGCAGCGTTAGGAAGAAAATCAAGCCCTCGGGCATCTTACAAAGCAAAGGCTCAGGACTAAGCTGTGACGGCCCCATCCCCTGCCTCAATTGACATGATACTAACCCTACATTGTTACCATTGTAACCTGTGCCTCTCACTTTCAAACTGATGAGCTAATCGTGAAGAACGTCACAATCAATGTTACCAAAGGCCATTGAGAGTTTGAAGAACACCAGGATACTCCCATCCTGGACCTAAAATAAGTTATCAACAAACAAAATCAATGCTGTTTTGGCATTTTATCCAGGCCTGAAATCTAATAGATTTAGATAATCTGTGACTTCCAGAGCCCTCAGAAACTGCAGTTCAATAATCTTCTCAACAAGGGAAGTTTAAATATGGGTCAGAAATTGTCCAACCCCACTGGGCCTTGCAATAGCTTCTTGAGAGGTGGGTAGACCATTGCTTCCATGATTGCAAACAAAATCACCCCTTCCTCAAGGATGAATTCATCACCACTCAGCTCTATATATACGTCACCTCCTAGAAGCCTTGACCAATCAGGACTGACATGGATCTAATATATAGGTGACCTTGGCTACTGGTCTGAGGATCCTGTCCACTTTCTTGGGGCTAGGAAGCTCAAAGTTTTCCCAGATAAGAAAATATTAGTAGTACTGTATGAGAGATTCTTCCCTGTCTTTTGCCAGACTGTATCACAGTCAATACTACCAGACTTACACAACTAGAGCCCAATTCGAAGTATTGTCCAATACATGCCTCATATAATCCTCTGCAGATGCAATAAGAGTAGAAGTATAACTAATTTTCCCATTCTTATCACTGTAAGGTAATAAAGGCTCTTACCTATCTCGAGTCAGATTCGCTCTTTGTCTTTCTCCAGTGGCATTCTAGCATCTCTTCTGGTGCTTCATCTCCTGGAGTTCCTCTTGAGAATCAAAGGTCAATGACAGAATGTGACTGTAGGAAATTAATGAATTAATAAATATTAGTAGATCTATCATATTAAATAGTTTATCTGTATTTCCTCTCTAAACATTATTCTAAAAAGCTAAGAATGATGCACACAATTTACCCTTTCAAGATTTTATCCTCACTTGATCCTGAGAAGCTGAGTAATCATGATCAGCCCAGAGTATCTTGTAAGCTTCATGACAGCATCAGCATAATAGCCCACTGTGTTAACTCATTACAACAGATTCGTTATTATAATGCTCCATTCTTCTTCCAAATTACTCAGAATAATTTCTAGAGTCAGCCAAGGTGACTTAGTTTCAGTGCTAGAAATATATTATGCTGCTCACTACTTATGGAGTGGAAAGATGTATATGTTCCATTTCCCACATATGTCTTGCAGCAAAGAAGACATGTACTATCCACCATGTATGCCAATTCATATATGGTTAGTTTTTCTCTTCACCACATCCTAATTATACACACCCCGAAATCACATTTAAATTTGGGGAAGAATTATATATCTCAGCACTAGAAGTATGGATTTACATGCAGAACTTTCAACGTCTGGTCTCTGGCACGTCCTGAGAAACTGCCAGTGTATGTACATCATCCTGTCTAGAGAGTAGATTGTCTGCACATAAGGAACTTTCTAAAAATGAATCTGTGCATCACACTCAAAATCTGTAAGATGCAGGATGCCACACTCTATAGAAGAATGGTGGAAAGCATTCCAAAATTTTGCTTTGAGTTTTTGAGATGTGATGCAAAGAACTGATTTGAAATTGGTTATACTTTATGACTTTCTTCCTTCAGTATGCTGTAGCTGACTGGTATCACTGAAACTTTTCATTTATTAGCTTCACATCTTTTGAAAATTCCCATCTAATTTTCTAGAAGGGACTCTGTAAGAAGAAAAGCTAGTGCAAAAGTTCTCCTTTTCTAAGTTTGCATAACAATTGGTAAATGTTTTAGTAATTATTTATAAGCATTTTAAAAGGTTTTTTCTTCTTCTGAACAAAGAATGCAGACTTTAAAAAACAAGCATTACACATTTCTGGAATAATGTTGAGATTGTCTTATCCAAACAAATGATATTCGGACAGACCTGCAACTCAATTGTTACTTTCAAAAACTTCTGTCATTGTTGTTATGGTCCATCAAATCAGTTCTGACCCTTGGTGACTATAGAAACAAGTCTGTGCAGTTTTCCTGGAAACATTTTTTAAAATAATATTTTTATTAAATTTACAATTAGTAAGATAAAAAAATAATATAAACTAAGAAGTATAAAAGAATGAAAAGATAGAAAGTGGAGATAATCAAATAAAAAATAGGAAAAAAGAAAGAGAACAAATATAATAAAGAAAAAGAAAAAGAAATAACTTCCCCCTTCATCCCAGCAAGTACAAACAATATAAATTATTTATGACCTTCTCTGAAAAATACAACACTACCTTCCCATTACCTCATCTCTTATCTATAAACAATTTATTAAAGCCTCATCATTCAATTCTAGTCAGCAAAAGTCCATCAAGGGTTCTCAAAAATAATATACATATATACATATACTGTATTTTTTGCTTCATAAGACAAATTTTTTGTCTCCCAAAAATGGCTGGAAATGTCTGTGTGGCTTATGGAGTGAATATTGCTGAAGCCCCACCCACCTCCTGGCCCCCACCCTTTGACCGTTTTAGGGTTCTGTGTGCCCCATTTTCAGCCTCTGCACGTCCCGTTTTTGGCCTCTACACACTCCACTTTCAGCCTCTGCGTGTCCCATTTTCAGCCTCTGCACACACCGTTTTTGGCCTCCACTTTCCAGATGGTTAGGATCGTCGCCACTGCCTCCGCCTATTGCCACCGATCACCACCACTGATCGCCATCTATCATTGCTGATTGCCGCCGCCGATTGCAATCGGTGGCAATGATCCCCGCTGCCTGGAACAGGCTGAAAATATATATATTCTCTTTTGTATCAACAAATCTTTAAAGTCTCATCATTCAGTCCTGGTCAACAGCAGTCCATTAAGGGTTACCAGAAACAATAATGTACACATTTTAACCTTCATCAAATAAATCAACTTTATATTCCTTCCCTTTAATTTTAACAGTCTTGACCTTTAAGTAGAATTCCAGAACTTGGCTTCTTTTCATTTTCTGCTTCTCTCTTCCAAGAAAATCAGTGAAAACTTCGAAAAACCTATTTTATAAATCAAAAATAAGGTTATTGAAGCCACTCTTTTGGTTTGTTATTTGTATATCTCTTTTAATTATTAAGTATAGAATTAATAGACTAGAATGGGCATATAATGAATGCAGTTGTGTGTTATTATAAATACAAATCTTCAGTCAAAAGAAAGATAACTATCTCATGTTCATGTATAATGTGATAACTCTTACCCCTTAATAATTTCTTAAAACTAATGTCAAATCATTGTTTGTTATCTTTCTATTTCTGTGATATGTTGAACAATCAAAATTATTTTCTTTTTTGGGAGGAGCATTCTTTCAATATTCTTTCCTACTTTAGCACCCGTATATCGGTGGTCTAAGTGCATTAGCCAACTCTGCAAAGTTATTGTGGGATTTCATGTTTTTCTTCTTAAAAGATTTTTGATAGTAAAAGAAAAAACTAAAGTGTAATAAATCAGAAGAAGCAACTGAAAAACAAGGAAAATATACTCTCAATATGGGAAATAGTTAAAGCTCTTCTCCTCATTCTCATCTCTTCTTGTCCCTATAAGTGTTTTTCCATCAGAGAAGAAACTCTAAAAATGGAGCATGAGATGTTTTAGAGATGATTTCAACTGAGAAAATAGGAGAAAGAGACATGGGGGGAATCTAGAACAACTTGCTATGGCCAAGTGTCCATGGCCAGTTTGCTCTGGCCAGGTTGCTGCCACCAATTTACCCTGACCAGGTCGCTACTTCTGGCTCACCCCAGCTGTAGATGCAGAACAAGTCACCCTGGCCAACTGGACATGGGGACAGCTTGCCACTGTGGAACAATTTGAGGATGAAGAGGGGAGGGGAAAAGGGATTTCCTCCCCTCCCCACCAGAAGAAACATGAGTGCCAGCTGATAGGAAGAAAGGAAGAGAATGGTACTCTACCCAGGATTCCCCTCCCTATGGCATTTATTCTGGTGGGGAATGCCTCTTTCTGTCCCCGTTTCATCTTCAAATCATCCCACAGTGGCAATTCCCCTTCCTGAAGGCTGTTCCCATCCCTGTTTCATTAGCCGGGGCTGATGTTTCTTCTGCTGAAGGGGAAGTGCCTCTTCCCTTCCCTACTTTGTCCTCAAATTGTCCAATGGCTATGAGTTGTCCCCATGTCCAGGTGCTCAGGGTGACTTGTCCGGGGTCCAGTAGGCCAGGGTGAGCCGGCAGCAGTGACCTAGCCAGGGCGAGGTGGCAATGGTGACCCACCAGGTGATCCAGCCGCAGCAACCCGGACAAGGTGACCTACTGAAAAATAAAGCCAGCAAATAAAACTTCAACAATATAACAGCTGTAAATGAAGCTGGCATTCCTGTGGCATTAATATTTCCTTAATTTTTTTCAGGTACGATCCTCGCTTCAGCACTTGGATACATCTGGCCAATATGAATCAAAAGCGCACTCATTTTAGTCTGAATGTGTTCAACGGTCTCCTTTTTGCAGTCGGGGGTCGCAATTCTGAAGGGTGTCTCTCTTCGGTTGAATGTTATGTCCCTACAATTAACCAGTGGCAGCTGAAGTCTCCACTGGAGATGCCCAGGTGCTGCCATGCTAGTGCAGTAGTAGATGGTAGGATCTTGGTCACAGGAGGCTACATCAATAATGCTTACTCCCACTCAGTTTGCATGTACGACCCTGCTAGTGACAGCTGGCAAGACAAGGCCAGCCTTAGCACCCCGAGAGGATGGCACTGTGCCATTACCCTAGGGGAAAAGGTCTACGTGATGGGAGGATCCCAACTAGGAGGCAGAGGGGAAAGAGTTGATGTGCTTCCTGTTGAATGCTATAGTCCATATTCTGGCCAGTGGAATTATGTTGCTCCTCTTCCCACTGGTGTGAGCACTGCTGGTGCTTCTAATCTTAATGGAAGAATTTACTTAGTGGGAGGCTGGAATGAAATAGAAAAGAAATACAAGAAATGTATTCAGTGTTATAACCCCGACCTTAATGAATGGACCGATGAAGATGAGCTACCTGAAGCCACCGTAGGAGTGTCATGCTGCACTATTGCCATGCCCAACACTAAGACCAGGGAATCGAGATCTAGCTCAGTATCTTCAGTACCAGTTAGTATTTAAGTTCTTTTTTTAATTAACACCCCCCATGAATTTAAAAAGCTATTCTAAATTTTTAAAATATTTCTTTCCCACTACTGGGTTGTAATCCCTTTTAAGAAGTGTCCCTATCAAAGGGATTGAGGAGAAAAACATTAAACACTGTTCGCATGGATTTCAGTTTCATAAAATGAAAAGTGGCCAATTTTCATGGGATTGAAAACACATGGTATGACCAAAGAAATTCAAATCTAATACATTTTATGCAGTACAAATGTGCACCATAAGACAAAGGCCTCTGATCCATTGATCATAACAGAGCAAAGTTCCTTACTTCCTGTGGGACCTCTTGTTCAGATTCTGCAATCGATTTAGAAAAACATGTTTCCAAGCAGATGGCTCAAAGCATGGCTGATTAGAAGGCACCGTTCAGTTAAGTTTTCCTCCAGAGGGGCAAAGGTAAAAGATGGAGCAATATATCAGAACTACAAATGGAAGGCTAACGTTTCTAAAATCCATGGGCATCTGTAGTTGGGAGCAAATGACATCATGCTCATCATATTATCATAGGACAAAGGACATGAATTATATAATTTGCATCAAAGACACAACTGACGTCAATTACAGAATTCACATTATTTGCATGTTGACACCAGTGATGTCATTCTGGCTTCTTACAGACATCTCTATTGGAATCCTCTGCAATCTTCTATGAATGAAACAAAATAATGAGATTTATCTAGAAGCAAATATTATTTTAAATAAGGATTTATTCCTAGAATGCAGTGCTTTGCTTTACTATTGTTTACTGAATAAATCATAATTGGCTGAGCTACAGTCAGCTAAATCATTGCTTACAAAAGTTAGTGGCTCAATTCCCATGACATGCTAAATCACAGGCAAATCACATATAGCAAGTTATATGAATCCACCTATAAGCTATAAGAAGGCATGAAAATAGATTTCTCTATAAATATGAGAAATATAGATACAAGTAAAATCTAAAACTATATCATATTTCTGCAGCGCCTGGGACCATGTCAACATTTCAGTAAAATGTTTACATGAAACAATAAATTTTACCCTGTGGTTAGGCTTATGAAACTGTGGTTATGCTAACCCAAGGTCTGCACAAAGTCAGATGATAGATCAACTGAATTTGGAATGGGCGTTGGTAGAAGTGACCCTGAACGCCCTTTCTATCTATGCTGCGAGAGAGCCCAGGACGGGTTGACTCCTTCCTATGATGTCATTTAGCTGAGTCTGTACTAAGATATAAAAGCCAGCCCCCGGAAGAGACCCCAGCTTTGGCGAAGATACTTGACAGACTGAAAGGTGTCTCTGAAAGCACAAATGAATACAGAAATATGACTTACCCTCTCCAGACGAATCAAGGGAGGGGCTGGGCTCTCTCGCAGCATAGATAGAAAGGGCGTTCAGGGTAACTTTTACCAATGCCCATTCTCCTCCATGCTGCATCGAGAGCCCAGGATGGGACATACCAAAGCTTGCATGTCCACGGGTGGGTCCTGGTCCAGCTCATCACACCAACTGTTGAACCACTCGTTGAAGCACCCGTCTGCCGAAGGCTGCAGTTGCCGAGGCAAAGACATCCAGACAGTAGTATCTGATGAAAGGAGACGGAGATGTCCACGTGGCCGCACGACAGATCTCCTCCAAGGGTGCTTGGGTCGCCCAGGCAGCCAAAGTGGCCGTGTTTCTGGTAGAGTCCGCCATCAGACCTCGAGGAACCGGAAGGGCCGCAGCTTTGTAAGCCTGCTCAATGCAAGATCTGACCCACCTGCTAATAGTAGGAGAAGAGGCCTTGTGCCCCAAGTGAGAAGGGAAAAGGAAACAAAATGGCTTCAGACTTCCTGAAGGAGGAAGTGCGCTTAATGTATATTCTAAGAGCCCTACCTACGTCTAGCGAGTGCCACTGCTGCTCTAAGTCATGGTGCAGGAGGGGGCAGAAGCCAGGCAACATAATGTCCTGGGACCTGTGAAACAGGTATTAACCCTTGGAATAAATGAGGGGTCCAGACTGAGGACAACCCTATCATCGTGAAAGGAACAAAGGTCCTGTCTGATGGAAAGAGCAGCAAGCTCGGATACCCGCCTGGCTGAAGTGATGGAAACGGGGAACACTACCTTCAGAGTCAGGAAACGGAGAGACAATGTTTTAAGGGGTTCAAAAGGGGGCTTTGTAAGGGCATAAAGGACCACATGAAGATCCCAGGAAGAATACCTGTGAACCACTGGAGGGTGCAGGTTGGAAACCCCTTTCAAAAACCTCCTGACTGAAGGGTGATGGGATAAGGAAGGAAGCGAACCCCATGAAAGAACCGAGGAAAGGGCCTCAACCTGCCTGCCTAAGGTGTTGGGGGCCAAACCTTTCTCCAGATCATGCTGAAGGTATCCAAGAACCTCTGCCAACTGGGCTAAAGTGGGAGAGAGAGACCCTCCCTAAGGCACCATCGGGAAGGGCCTTCCAGGTGGCATCATAGATGCGCCTTGTGGAAGGTTTGCGAGATGCCAGGATAGTGATGATGACCCTTTCAGGAAGATCAGCCAACTCTAGCCGCTGCCGCTCAAGTGCCACATGGTCAGCTTGAGCCACTGGGGCTCTGGGTGGAGCAGAATCCCCTGATGAAGGGAGATTAGATGGGCTGGGATCCTCCAAGGAGAAGCCACCAACAGGTTGACCAGGTCTGCAAATCAGGGCGTCCTTGGCCAATAGGATGCCAGGAGGAGGAGCTCCACTCGTTCCTCCAACATCTTCCAAATTACTGCCGGAATGATGGGAAGCGGGGGAAAGGCATAAAGGAGACTTTTGGGGCATCTGCACCAAAGAGCATTGGTCTCCTCTGCTCCCTGACAAGGAAACCTGGTGAAGAATCTAGTGACCTGGGCAATTTGAGGAGTGGAGAAGATCCACCTCTGGTGTTCCGAATCTGAGGGAAAGGTCCCTGAATAGAGAAGGAGGAATAGACCATTCTGCCTGGTCGACTAGGCTCCTGCTGAGCCAGTCGGCCTGGGAGTTGTTGATCCCAGAGATGTGGTTCGCCAAGATCGACAACAGGTGTTGCTCTGCCCATAACCCCAACCGTAGAGCCTCTCCCGTGAGGGCTCTGGACCTCGTCCCCCCCCCCCGCCGCCGCCATGGCTCATGTCAACCATGTTGTCCATAAGGACTAGAACATGAGAGCTGGTCACTGAGTGCCTGAAATGCTTGAGAGCTAGAAAAATGGCTCTGAGCTCTAGCCAATTTATGGGAAAGGCCTGCTCTGACCTGGACCAAGGTCCTGAGCAATCTGGCCCTGCATATGGGAATCCCAACCCAGGAGGCTGGCATCGGTGGTTATCACTAGCCTGTCTGGGACCCTGAAAAGGAGTCCCTTCCAGATTAACAGGAACACCACCAATTGAGAGATCTCCAGATTTGTGGCGGGAGCGGGACCTTGATGGATGAGTGGCTGGTTCCTGCTCGTTGGTAGGGAAGCAGGAACCACTAGAGTGGACAGGAGTGGAAAAATCCATGGCTCTGGAGATATGACAGGGTAATTTGCAGATCCTGATGGGCTGCATGGATGAAGGAGGACAGAATCAAAATGTTGTCCAAATAGCATTGGATCCTCACTGGAACAGAAAGCAGAGATGCCATCAATGCTGCCAGAACCTTTGTGAAGACCCTTGAAGCCGATGAGAGGCCGAAGGGAAGTGCTCAATACTGGTAATGGGTATTCTGATAACAGAAACGGAGAAACTGGCGATGGTGAGGGATGTGGAGGTAAGCCTCCATGAGAACAGTGGAAGAGAGGAGATCGCCCTCCCGAACGCTCTCTAAAATAGAATGCAGAGTCTGCATTTTAAATAGCCTGTATTTTACAAATTGGTTGAGAAATTTTAGATCCAGGATGGTTTGCTATCACCACCACCACCACCACCCCCGCTTTGGGAACGATGAAAGGCGAGAATAAAGCCCACGTTCCCATTGAGAGGGGAGAACAGGTTTGAATAGCTCGGATTTCAAGAAGGAGTTGAATGGCCTGATTCATGAGGTCTTGTCTTGAAATGTCCCAAGAGACAGGACAGATCAATTTTTTGGGGGGGGGTGGTGCATTAGGAAGTCCAATTGTAATCCTGACCTAATAGTGCTGAGCACACAGGCATCCGCCGTTGATTCCTCCCATTTGGAGGCAAAGAAGGCTAGGGGACCTCTGATGGGTGGGGAGAATGAGGGATTACTTAGAGCGACAGCAGGAATGACCCCCACCCTCCCGAAAGGGCTGTTTACCAGTATAAGGAGCAGGGCGATAGTCGGCTCTCTTCCCAGAGGAAGAGAGAATTTTACGTTTATCTCTGGTTTCGATGAGATAAGGTTCCAGAGCATCGCCAAAAAGCTTATCGCCCGCGAATGGAACTGAAACCAGCTACCATTTACGGCGTGACTCCGCCTGCTAATTTCTGAGCCATAACAGTCTTCTTGCTGCTACTGAAGATGCTATGGCCCTAGATGCAAATTTGGTGGAGTTGAGAGTGGCATCTGCAGTGAATTCCGCCGCTGCGATAATTTTATTAAGGCCTTGGTGAGACCGAAGGTCAGATGTAGGCAATCTAATCTGGAGTTGGTGCAGCCACCGTATGGATGCCCACGTGAGAGTGCCAGAAAATGGGAATGAGGCCAGAACCGGAATGTCAACAGAAGGCACTGCCAGGGAATTGTCCAGGGCTGCGCTGACGTTGTAGAAATGCTTATCCAGAGAAGATGGGCGAGGACCTGCCGAAGGGGAAGCGCACTGTTCCTTGACCATCTCCAGGAACAAAGTGGGAGAAGGCAAAACCCCTGCATGCACTACAGGCTTGGAGAAGAAAGAGTCTCCCTGGCTAGAGGGAATTCCTTGTGGCTCAGGAGCCACTTCCTCTGGCGACAGCTTGGCAGTGACCAAGGCCATGCTGAGTAATGGCCTGAAGAGAGAAGGATTGAAGACCAATGCAGAGGATGTCTGCTTTGGGCGAGAATCCTCTTCCTCTGAAAGATTTTGGTCAAAGGTCTCACCCTCTTTACGTTCTGAACGAGCGGAGTAACTGTGTTCAGATGGTGAAGCCCTTCCTGCCTCATCAACCTCCTCCCATTCTGATAGAGAAGAATGGACCCTGAGGTCCTGGAGCCTGTGTAAATCAGGGTGATGAGGCAACTTATAGATTGAGAAGGGAGAAGGGCCTGAACCCTTTCCGGAGGTCGAAGGATTTGCTTGAAGACTTCAGCCAATTCCTGCCTAATGGCCAAAGAGACCACATCTTGGATATCCCCTGGTCTATGCTCAAAGGTAGGGGCAGAAGGCTGAAGGCCCGCTGCTGAGTGAAGGTGGCTTCAGGACTAGATTGAGAAGAGGTTTGAGGCCTGGAGGAAGGGGGAGGAGCATAGGGCCCAGAAGCCTGTTGGAAATAAGGCCCAGATCTGCTTAGATCCTGAGGATCAATGTACTGCAAAAGCCTCAGGAGACCAGGATGGAGGATGGAAAGGCTCATAGATAACTTCTCCTCTCCTGGGAGGGCTTGGCTGGGGCCCACAGGTATCACCTGAAACATGCTGTAGTTGCACTCCCTTCTGTTGAATAGTTTTGTTGAACTGCCTCTCTAGGGCTGCATGTCTGCGCTTTTCTGCCCTCAACTCAGCCTGAGTTGCCTTCTTAGGGGCTAGAGCCTTAGCTCTGATTTTAGCAGCCACCTCCCTCTGGACTGATTGGGTGCGTTGCCTGCAACTTTTTCTCTTATTGGCTTAAGAGACTGTTCCACTGGGGGGGGGGACTCTGCCTGACCCTTATCTTGCTCCATTTGAAGAATAAAGGCTCCTCCGATGGAAAGAAACTTTTGTAAATTTTTTGTATTAAGCCCCTTAGGGTATAAATTGGCCCCCGGGCTTACAAAATGGCCGCTCACCTCGTGGTGGAAGGCTTCAAACCAAGATGGCCACTGACTATGGGAAACAGGCTCCGAGATCGAAGAATTTCTCCTTAGGCTATAAAGAGCCCTGAGTGAAGTCAGCAAAGGAAAGGGCAGCCTCTGGCCACACGATCAGCTGGCTGACACTGGTATCGGTTTGCCGATCACTTTTTACGACCGCTCAAACCGCAGGCGTGGGGGAGGTCTACAGATGCT